TGACGATGTGAGGTTTAGACTTACTTTGAAGAACAGATTGTCATCCTTTAGTGATGCTTCTGCGTCACGGAGAGCGTACTGGGCATCACCCATTTTCAGATAACACTTGGATCGGGCCACCAGGCAGTTCCTGTCATTTGGCTGTATATCGAGGGCCTGTACCAGCACACGGGGGAGGACGCGGGAAGAGGAAAACAACTTCAATGCAGCTGTCTCACCTGTTTATTTTCCATAAACACAGTTACCTGATCGGGTTGGTACAGCTAGTGCTGTCACATGGCCAGTATGAACCACCTGGGATATCCAGCGGGACATCCAGCCTATGGCTTAAACTCAAGATCTCAAAGGTTCTGGATCATTGGCTCTGACATCTCTTAGAAAGGAACTCCAAGGTTAGAACCCAGGATTTTAAAGATTTGTAAAACAAGCCTTATTTGCTCCGAGAAAGAGAAACCCAGGACTATAACTCTGACAGCCAATATGAACCATTTATTCCAACAGTTATTGAGCCTACAATTCTCTCTTTCTCAGAGGCTCATAATGGCCATGTCCGAGATAGATCCTGGGATATAGCCCTGGGTCTGCATCTCTCACGGTGTTCATCATGGCCATATTTAGGATACTTAGACTCTGAGTACAAGCCCATACCCAGACTGAAGCTCTCCTCTCTCAATATATCAGAGGCTCATAATGGAGATGCCAGCAAACTGAGATCTTGGGTTATAGCCCTGGGTCTGAGTCACAGTGCTAATAAAAGCCATGTCAGGCCACTGAGATATTGGGTCAAAGCGCTGGTTCTGCTTCTCGCATGGGTTGTCGCCTTGTCGTGGTAGAGAATCTTGTGTGCCTCCAGACTCAGAGAGCAAAGCCGGCGGAAGCCTGAGGCTCCCAGCAGGTCCAACCATGCCGGACTGGTCAAAGGGTAGACAGACGAAATGGACAAACTCCTGGTCCTCCAGGTTGAGGGTTGGGCGTCTGGCTAACAACCCCACACCGGAAAAAAACGGAATTGTTATGGAAACTGCAACAAGAACATATTTAGTACGGGACCATCAGGAGGCACCTCGCCACGAAACCGACAGAATGACCCATTCCAATCAAAGCCCTCAGAGGGACATTGGAAAGGTGAAATGGCGTCTCCTGGATCCAAAGCACCACATCACGATTGAAGCCCGGGACGTACGTGCCATGTGCCAGACGTCCAAGACGCCCCAAGTTGTCCATGAGATGAAACGACGTCCCATTCAAGACTAACTAACGACCTTGGGGCCTGTCTTGTGGTGAAGCAGAGAAAGCGTGGCCTTGTTGCGGCCTTGTGCTCCACAGGGAGTACAGCGCTGGTTCGGAGTCGCAGTGCTCTAAATAGCCATGCCAGGGCACTGCTATCCAGGGTTATAGCCCAGGCTGTGCTCCATGTGTGTATGTCGGAGGCTCACAATGGCCATGCCGGAGACGTTACCGTGCTGTAGCTCTCGATGGCCCGGGTGTAGTCGCCCTTCTGGAAGAGTTTGTCTCCCTCGGCCAGGTACGTGGCGAACGAGCTCTTGGGCCCTTCCGGAGTCTCTTCTTCATCGCTGTTCATCTCGCGAAGCGGGAGTGACTTTTATGGTGAGAAAAATGAACGTGCAGGTTTGTTTTTAAACACTAAATATGAATAAATACTCAGCTCGCCGCCACGACCGTTGTTGTGAAGCGGCGGCTGATCGGCCGGGTGGTTGTGTACTCGCGTATCCTAGCAACGGGGTGCAGCGCCAAGGATGCTTCTGTTAACGACAAGAGTTTGTGTTTCTAATGTCGCGCATCGTTATCGCAGTCACGGTCAATCAGCAGCCATGGTCAATTCACTACCGGATGAAGGCGTCCCAAAGCAGCCCCCACCCAACACCACCACATGAATAGTTTTTTGTTACTGGTAGGAACCTCCTGGTTACACCAGCCCACAGGGGATTATTGTGTTCGTCCGTCCGTCGTGCAGGGAGGGGCTGGGTGGGGAGGGGCTGGGTGGGGAGGGGTGGGGAGGGAGGGGCTGGGTGTGGAGGGTGGGGAGGGGCTGGGTGGGGAGGGTGGGGAGGGGCTGGTGGGGAGGGTGGGGAGGGGCTGGATAGGGAGGGTAGGGCTGGGTGGGGGGTGGGAGGGTGGGGAGGGGCGGGGAGGGGCGGGGAGGGGCTGGGTGGGGAGGGTGGGGCTGGGTCGGGGGTGTGGAGGGGTGGGCTGGGTGGGGAGGGGCTGGTCACCCCGTGGTGCCCTTATAAAACTCAACGTTTAATCTACTCACGCCGGCTTGTGCCCGCCCTCACAGTCGGGCATATTTGCGGAATACACCACGCCGCCGTTGACCCTGGCCATTGACCGAGCAACCCAACGTTCCTACCAGCTCCCTCCGCAGGAATGTGTTTAATTTGGTGTGTGTGTGTGGTGGAGCAAGCAAACATGGGCATGGATGGCTCCGTAATAATACGGTAATATTTTGCTTATTTAGCCAGGAAAGCCGCAAGCGTTGTCGCAGGAATCGAGTTCAAGAGTGTCATGCATTTGTTTTTTTTTATTTTAAGATATCTTCAAACCGGAGCACACACACACACGCGCGCGAGGAAGCAACACTGTATCCCCGTGCAGATGGAAACAGATGGCGATTAGACCACGTGCTTTGCTGCCTTCTCCTGGCAAGCCAGGGTATGGCTACCTCGCGGTACACGGGAAGGGAGTTTCACAACATTTGTGCAATCCACCAACCCTTGCCTTCACAGTGCTGCATTACAGGTCATGTGCTCCATCAGAATCAGTCTTTATTGACTGTAATTATTGACCGATAATTAGCAGACTGAAATGTATTTTGCAAATGATTATCTGGCGTGCTGATGAGTGGCCAGGTGAAGGAAACTGCTCCAAGTAATTTGCATTGCAGAATTGTGAATTACAACGATTGTACAATAATTACACTTACATATCCCTATATTTTTATGACCTATTTCGAATTACGGTAATGTTGTTACCTTTATTGTTACCCAGTGCACTAATGTGAATGTACATACGTAACAACCATTAGGAAATATGTATACTTGAGAGGAGTACGTTGGAATATTGTTAAAACGTTTTTTTTTACAAAACTCAATATGGGCAGTCACCGAGACGCGAACGTCCTGACTCACAAAAATCTGTAAATACGAACGAAGCCTCCATGAGTACGTTATTATTTGTAACAATCCGACTTGCGAACATTCGGTTCTATTTACGAACCGAACCGCAAAACGATTTTGTTCGGCACAGCGATCCTCCGAAAGATGTAACAAGTCCCAGCATCCTGCGTGATACATGACAGTGAAACGTTCCTCCCGACAAACAAGCCAACATCAGGTGTTAAGGTAAGTGAAAATAAAAAAATATGTGTTTTTATTATTTCATGTTACTTTATTTTGTTGTATTTATTATACAGTATTGCGTGCAAATGTACAATATATTTTCTTATTATTCATGAGTTTAACAGTGCTTCCCTTTGTTGAAACATAACACATTTTTCATACTGACCTATGTACTATACAATTAAACATGAAATTCCAAAATACAAACAAATCGACTTATGAACGGGTTTCAGGAACATACTGCGTTTGTAAGTCAAGGACTATCGTAATTAATACTGTATTTTCTTATTATTCAACACATTCCTGCGGAGGGAGCTGATAGGAACGTTGGGTTGCTCGGTCAATGGCCAGGGTCAACGGCGGCGTGGTGTATTCCGCAAATATGCCCGACTGTGAGGGCGGGCACAAGCCGGCGTGAGTAGGTTAAACGTTGAGTTTTATAAGGGCACCACGGGGTGACCAGCCCCTCCCTACCCAGCCCCACCCCTCCCACCCCCCACCCAGCCCCACCCCACCCAGCCCCACCCCTCCCTCCCCCCCAAACAGCCCCTCCCTCCCCTCCCCATCCAGCCCCACCCCACCCAGCCCCACCCCTCCCCACCCAGCCCCTCCCCACCCTCCCCTCCCCACCCAGCCCCTCCCCACCCAGCCCCACCCTCCCCTCCCCCACCCAGCCCCTCCCTCCCCACCCAGCCTCTCCCTGCACGACGGACGGACACAATAATCCCCTGTAGGCTGGTGTAACCAGGAGGTTCCTACCAGTATGAGCAATGACTGTTAATAATTTCACCTATAGAGTGAATTTGATAAACAAACTACTTACATTTTGTTGCTAAACAATTGCAAGTAAATAAAAATAGACAGTGCTGTAGTCAAGCTTAACATGAAAATGTATCCCAAATCAAATGAAGTGATTTGTATAAAGTTGCGAATTGATTTGGACCGTGTCAACATAAACCATCGCCACAAAAAACAACAAACTCACACCGTGCACCCCATTCCTCCCCATCACCCCCACAAACTAAACAACTCGCAAAAAAAACCAAACCATGCAGTTGCAAACGTATCTAACGAAGCAACCTTACATACGTTTGAAAAATAATCTCAGTAAATAATAGACAGTTCCCACACAATTCTAGATTTGAAGCTTTCGTGACTGCAAGGATTCATACTCTTAGGTTTTTTCGGTAAAGTCACGTAGGTAAATAATAAAAATAATAAATTACTATTTTATTTATATTATTATTTCTATCATTTGTATTATTTATTTTTTAACCTCTTAGGTTTTTCGGTAAAGTCACGTAGGTAACAAAAATAATAGAAATAATAGAAATAAAATAAGTGATTTATTTAAAAAAATAAGTCACGTAGGTAAAACATTTTATAGAAATAATAATAAAAATTAAATAAAAATAATATAAATAATAATAGAAATAAATAAGTTATTTTTTTAAACAAATCACTTATTTTATCTCTATAATTATTTCTATTATTTTTCATTTTATTGCTATTATTTCTATTACCTACGTGACTTTTTCCGAAAAAAACCCAAGAGTTTAATTCCCACAAAATAAACAAACGAAACCATCACCCCCCCCCCTCGTCTCACCCCCCCCACAACCACCCCTCCCCGGTGGGAGGAGTTGGTATCGCCCAATGGCCGCGCTCAGTTGGGGTTGAAGGCGCGCACTCGCCGTCACTCCCAATCTCGCCTTTCTTGTCAGGGGCTTTTCTCTTTTCTCAAGTGTCGCCGTATCCGCACGTCGTCGTTATCAGGGAGTCGTCGTCGCCGCCGACGCAAAGGTGCTCGGTTTTTTTTGCCCTCGAATCGCGGCTTGCGAAGGCGCCTTCGACGCTGTTTACGGACGCGGACCTGCGATGCCGAGGCCTGTTCTATCCGAGCAGGCCTCTGCCGCACTTGCGTGTTAAACGTCGCCTACGTTCGCACTCGTTTTGTGGTGTCATTTTACGAGGTCGTTCAAACGATTTTGGTTTTGCGTGTGTGTCCACGTTTGATGTTTACACAGAGGGGATGTCATGTCGTGTGAGATTGTGAAGGCTTTCAGGGTCGCGGTGTGAGTAGAGGTTGTTTTCTGTTGGTGCGGCCCGAAACCCAGGCTTCGTGAACTCCCAGGGCACAGGGCAGTGTTGTTAATCGCTAATATAGTTTCCCTCATTGTTGCTATTTCTATTTTTGTCTTGCTGTTGTCATCTCGAAGTTGATTGCGAAGTAAGTGGCCATCGCCATATCGGTTGTTAATTTTTTTTTGTCATCGTTAGCAATTTGCATCGCTGTCGGGATCGTTTTGGATAATGTGTTGTCATTTTGTGGCTATCGTAGTCTTTGTGGTTGAAGACGTCTCATTTATCATTTGTCATCGTGGTGTTTATTGTTATCGACGTCTTTATGGTTATCGTGAGCATTGTCGTTATCGTGAAAGTTGTCTGGTATCGCGATGTTGTCGTCTTTGTTCGTGTTGTGATTGTTTATCCGGTCTCAGTTGTGATCGATAACGTCACAGTTATTGCCATTATCGTGGTTGTAGTTATCTGTGGTATAATCGTCCATCGTAATTATAGTTGTGATAACCTTGCAGTTATTGTCGTTATAGTGCTTGTTATATTTGGTGTAGTTTTTGTCGTTGTAATTACCATTGTGTCCTTTTCTTTTCGTTGACGTTATTGAGTCGGCTCTCCTTACAATTGTGGTCACTAATTTCTGAGGCTTCAGGTGTTTTAGTTCTATTTATAGTTGCTATTGATTCGTGGTTTTCACTTGTGGTTGTTTTCGTTGTTGCCATAATGTTGCTACTTGTTGATCCCATTATTGTTGTTGATGTTAGAATTGTCACTCAGCCAACGAGCCATCATTGCGGTTGTTTCTAAGTTGGAATTGTTATATAGTTGTCTTCGTCTTCATTGTTGAGTTGTCATCATGTTTGTCGGGCTTGTAATTGATATTATTGCAGTAGTAGATGTTGTACTCGTCAGTGTCGTAGAACCTTGATAGTCCCTGTCATTGATTGTTGAGTTGTGATTGTCACTGGTAATCTTCACCTTAGTTGTTGAGTTGTCGTTGCTCTGGTGGCTGTTGTTAGGTCTCGGAAGGATTAGTTACTATCTTGATTTGAAGCTTTCGTGACTGCAGGAATCCAGTGGATTAGTTACTGTTAAGAGTTTCGCTCAGCCAGAGTTGAACCAAAAGAAGTGAAACCTGAAGTGATTGTTTAGATTATGTAGGGTGCTTCAATGGAGCTTTTCCGCGAAGTGTACCTCAATACGAAAATGATTACTGTAGAGTTATAAATTCAATTTGCAGAGTAAATCCGTAATTGTCCAGACTGAATTTGCACATTACAAAACGTACGTATATAGTGCATTATATTATGCTCAGCAGCAGCGCCGTGATCGTTATCACATGCATGCAGAAACACCGAGAGCACGTGCGTTGGAGAAGGTCTAATTTGCCAAAAAGGAAAAGAGAGAGGCAATATTTGACGGTACAGTATTCTCAAGACGGGCTTAAAATACATTTGACTCGAGACATCACCTTTCCTTTTTTGTTATTTGTGACTGAGCACTTTGGATTGCTCACACGAGTGTGCACCACGTATTCCCAGTTCTAAAATAGTGTTTGGGGGGTTCGTTGTGTCTGACTTAACGCACGTGGAACGTTGAGGGAAAAGCTGACATTGCAGCAGCTATAATGACCTGGTCGCTTGTCAACTTGGCAGAGCCATTTCAAGTGCCTGACATTATTTCCCTTGTGTAGGAAATAACCCCAAAGTGGATGTTGATCTTTCGATTTAAAGCTTTCGTGACTGCAGGGATTCATCTTCTTGTTTCTTTCGGTAAAGTCACGTAAAAGGGAAGTAATAAAATAATAAAAATAAAACATAATAAAACAATTCTCACGACGTTTCGGCTACAACGCAAGCAGCCGTCTTCAGGTGAAGAATGAGACACTACCAAACTAGGAGCTTATATATAAGCTGCATTGGGGGTTGAAGAGCGCCTTAACAAAAATAATGTGCATGTGAGGAGGAATTTAGCATATTCATGGAAAATGCGTAGGCGTTGGGCGGGGGGGTGTCAAAGTCATATTATGCCCATGCATTATACAGGATCAGCAGCAACCAAGGGGGGTGCAGGGATTAGCAGTAACAAAGGAAAGGAATGTTAATGATATGTAGCTGCAGTTACTCAACAACCACGTAGAAAACTAAAGTATAAACTACATAAAAAACTAAAGTATAAACTGCATCGCACCATCAGTATACTTACTATACTCTATAATAAGCTGAGTTACTAACAGCAAGTAATACATTACAATTCTACCTCGTAAAAATTCTATAATATGCTTCCATCTAAACCTTATTCTCTTATATCACACGAGCATATACCGTACTATATACTGCCATAGATAAACCCAACATTAAATTATATACTGTATTGCTGTAAACCAACCTATATCTTATACATTTAATATAACACTATGTATTATTCTACACACCCTAATGTGTATCGAAATGGTTTATTACGTCCTTCCAATGATTGCTGAGCCAGAATCCATCTTCTCGGTTAAAATTGTCTCTGTGTTTGTATATGTGGATCGCCTCATGAACGAATCTCTCATGATAGCCAGATGGCTTGCAGAGAACCTCTGTCTTGGAGAAGTCGATATCATGTGAGCCCACTGAGTTGTAACAGTGATCTGCCACGGCTGAGGTGTTTGTCCTACCGTGTTTCAGGTCAGCTTTATGTTCACGGATGCGGTCCGAGACATGTCGTTTGGTTTCCCCAATGTAACTGCTACCACAGAGGCAACTTAGTTTGTAGACGCCAGGGTACTGTATGTCTGGAACCACATCTTTTACAGACGGTACCAGATCACGGATTTTATGTACTGTGTTGAATCGGACCTGGATCTTGTGTTTAATCAGGATTTTGGAGATCTTTTTTTGTGACCCCAGCAATGTAGGGTAAGGTGATGGTCTTGAAAGGCTCCTCAACAGGATCCTTCTTGATGGTTGGAGTGATGGCTTTGCGGATTGTATAGTCGGAGTAACCATTTGCCTTAAGAGCTTGGCGTACGTGTTTGAGTTCACTGGAAATGTGTTCATGGTCGGAGATGCATTGGGCTCTATGATATAGAGTCTTGATGAGGGAATTCTTCTGGGATGGATGGTGGTGGGAATCCGGTTTTAGATAAGCATCCGTGTGGGTGGCTTTCCTGTAGACAGAGTGGCTCATTGAACCATCAGGTCTCCTTTTGATTAGGACATCCAAAAAGGGTAGCTTGCCATCATTTTCGACTTCCATGGTGAATCTGATGGCTGGGTGTATGGAATTGATGTGGTCGAGAAATTGGTCTAGAGCAGGCCGGCCATGTGGCCAGATGACAAAAGTGTCGTCTACGTACCTCTTCCAAAAGGTCGGGCGTAGAGTGGCAGTCTGGATAGCGTCCGTCTCAAATTTCTCCATGAAGATGTTGGCTACAACCGGAGATAGGGGGGAGCCCATTGGGGTGCCCTCAATTTGCTTGTAGAATGGAATGGAACCTTCTACAAGCAAATTGAGGGCACCCCAATGGGCTCCCCCCTATCTCCGGTTGTAGCCAACATCTTCATGGAGAAATTTGAGACGGACGCTATCCAGACTGCCACTCTACGCCCGACCTTATGGAAGAGGTACGTAGACGACACTTTTGTCATCTGGCCACATGGCCGGCCTGCTCTAGACCAATTTCTCGACCACATCAATTCCATACACCCAGCCATCAGATTCACCATGGAAGTCGAAAATGATGGCAAGCTACCCTTTTTGGATGTCCTAATCAAAAGGAGACCTGATGGTTCAATGAGCCACTCTGTCTACAGGAAAGCCACCCACACGGATGCTTATCTAAAACCGGATTCCCACCACCATCCATCCCAGAAGAATTCCCTCATCAAGACTCTATATCATAGAGCCCAATGCATCTCCGACCATGAACACATTTCCAGTGAACTCAAACACGTACGCCAAGCTCTTAAGGCAAATGGTTACTCCGACTATACAATCCGCAAAGCCATCACTCCAACCATCAAGAAGGATCCTGTTGAGGAGCCTTTCAAGACCATCACCTTACCCTACATTGCTGGGGTCACAAAAAAGATCTCCAAAAATCCTGATTAAACACAAGATCCAGGTCCGATTCAACACAGTACATAAAATCCGTGATCTGGTACCGTCTGTAAAAGATGTGGTTCCAGACATACAGTACCCTGGCGTCTACAAACTAAGTTGCCTCTGTGGTAGCAGTTACATTGGGGAAACCAAACGACATGTCTCGGACCGCATCCGTGAACATAAAGCTGACCTGAAACACGGTAGGACAAACACCTCAGCCGTGGCAGATCACTGTTACAACTCAGTGGGCTCACATGATATCGACTTCTCCAAGACAGAGGTTCTCTGCAAGCCATCTGGCTATCATGAGAGATTCGTTCATGAGGCGATCCACATATACAAACACAGAGACAATTTTAACCGAGAAGATGGATTCTGGCTCAGCAATCATTGGAAGGACGTAATAAACCATTTCGATACACATTAGGGTGTGTAGAATAATACATAGTGTTATATTAAATGTATAAGATATAGGTTGGTTTACAGCAATACAGTATATAATTTAATGTTGGGTTTATCTATGGCAGTATATAGTACGGTATATGCTCGTGTGATATAAGAGAATAAGGTTTAGATGGAAGCATATTATAGAATTTTTACGAGGTAGAATTGTAATGTATTACTTGCTGTTAGTAACTCAGCTTATTATAGAGTATAGTAAGTATACTGATGGTGCGATGCAGTTTATACTTTAGTTTTTTATGTAGTTTATACTTTAGTTTTCTACGTGGTTGTTGAGTAACTGCAGCTACATATCATTAACATTCCTTTCCTTTGTTACTGCTAATCCCTGCACCCCCCTTGGTTGCTGCTGATCCTGCATAATGCATGGGCATAATATGACTTTGACACCCCCCCGCCCAACGCCTACGCATTTTCCATGAATATGCTAAATTCCTCCTCACATGCACATTCTTTTTGTTAAGGCGCTCTTCAACCCCCAATGCAGCTTATATATAAGCTCCTAGTTTGGTAGTGTCTCATTCTTCACCTGAAGACGGCTGCTTGCGTTGTAGCCGAAACGTCGTGAGAATTGTTTTATTATGTTTTATTTTTATTATTTTATTACTTCCCTTTTACGTGACTTTACCGAAAGAAACAAGAAGATGGATGTTGATCGTAAATATAAATACTGTACAGATAACATGTTGTTGACACGATGCACTTGTACAGCTTTCCTGAAAAGAAAGTATTAAATTAGTTTTTAGCTCAAACCACATTGGAATGTATTTGTCGTAAATATATATGGAAACTATAAATTAAGCTTCGGATTATAGGTGTCATGTAAACGTTTCTTTAAAAAATTTTAAACAAAGGGTAAACAACATCGACTTTAAAAATAAAAATCTACAAAAATAAATTGTAGTCGTATTTCAATGGGTGGCAGATGTGTGCAGGATGGCAGAGTAAATATTACCAAGACAGACATTGGAGTGTTACCCAAGGCTTGGCAACCGAGGGAAAAAGACGCTGACCTGAATATCAAGAAGGCAGTGATGGTGAGATGTGGTGGCCATCAACAACAATGGGTGTGATGACTTCCTCATCTTGGCCATTTGTTGTGTTTATATCGTATTTTGTCTGAAATAACTTCCCGAGTAATATCAAATTCCCCTTTGTTCTGTTGCCTTGCGATGTACTGTATGAGGGTCGTAGTATAAATAATTATGAAAATGATGAATTCAAATACCATGCACAAGCCCCTGTGAGACATTATTGCGATCAATTAATTCATGATGATACGAAGAAATAGCTTCAGTCGCCCTTACATCATCCTGAGACATGTTTCCTCCCTCCAGACGTCCCTCTTGCACGGTGCACCTCTTTGCGATGTCCCTGAAGCCACGAGCCGTAGACTTCACCGAGACGTGGAACAAGCTGCTGACCACCATCCGCGGCGTCATCACCCTTGGCCATGTCGAGCGTATCACATGGAACGACAGATTTTCGTATCCTTGGCTTAAGAGAGCTCCGTGCTGGTTGTACCTTCTCTCTATCGCGCTCCCGTTTGTTGGTTAACCTGGGTATATGAGCCAGACTGCCCATTGAAGACAGGTGGTAGCCCACTTTAGGATATGGGTTAAGATAGCTTTAAAAAAACACTTTCAAATGTTAAGCTGATATTTGGTAATTGACAGATGAATTAAGTTTTATATTTGGGACCCATTAATTGTTTATTCTTGAGCCAATGTCTGATTTGCATATCAGAGATTCTCAAGAATTACGCAATGTATTTACATATATAATAGTATGATTTACTTATACTGTACTGCAGAGGAATTGATGAATGATCATAGACAATTCTATTCTAATTTGTTACAAAATCAGCTCATGTGTAGGTGCCAGGGAGATGATTAACATTGAAATGTTGTGACGGCTTGGGGAGAACCTCATCCAACAGTGGAATGTTCATGACCGATGATCATGATTATTTCACAAGTGTTAAGTACATAAACACAGTAGCCATGCGTACATATTGTTACCTAATTGATGTAATCAGATAGAGCCATTTTGTATTATCATTAAACAAAATTGGACAACAGTGTGCTTCCGCAGTGGGGTAGCCGCACTCTGAATGAAAAATAAAACCACATACAGAACCTGCAGAAAGTATGAAATTGAGTGGGACACACTTGAGCAGCATGCGTCTTCCCAGCGGCCTCTCACTTTAATTGCATGCTGCGTTTTTCTTTGACGGCCACTGCCAGCGATGTGTATGCCCTGTGTGTGGCATACCCGGAGCCCCTGGGAGATCGGCTCTACTCTGAAACCAGGGCCTTCCTGGAGGAGCACGTGCAAATACTCCACAAGGTAATCTCCGTGACAGAACAAAGACTAATCCCAGCCTTGTTACATGGTTCCTACTTGGAATGCCCTCTGTGCAAACATATTAATGGTATGAGTTGAGTTTCCCCCCCCCCCCCCCTTCATTATTTTAGCTCATAACAGCAGAAAACATCTCCAGTAGTAGATGACTCTGGGCAAAGGCATTTTATGGCAAATTTATTGGTGAAACTTTAGTCTCAAGCACAGTTTCGTTTTTCAGTTATTCTCGTATTGAATATTGTCTGGACTGTATTGTCTTTGAATTTTGTATTTGCTCTGTAATCACTCCCTTACTGAGTAATTCTCGCAAAAAACACACTCGTTTTGGTTCTTTGAGGTGCACTGCATAGCCAGTTGTTACATATCATGTTAAGGGCAACTCAAGCGCAAATCTAATATTAGCATGGCTTATTTTTATAGTTATTGATTACTTGAGACCATTTAATTTGTATTTATATTCTTGGATAAACAAGTGATTTGTTATTTAGTTCTGGTAAATGAGTCTAGATGGTTTGTTTTATTGTTATTTTATTGTTTATGTTTGTTATTAACCACTTAAGTGTTTCCATCATCTCTGCTTGCTGTTGACAGAAAGTGGTGGAGTCAGAGGAGAGGATACTTATAATGTACCATGGATATTGGGAGGAATACAGCAAGGGCTCGGATTACATGGACTGCTTATACAGGTCGGAATTATAAGGTTTTCTTGACAACACTGGTGTGCAGCTTGTGATGCAGTGTAATGGTTGAATACCATAAATACCACTTTTCACAACTTGGTAATTCCCTATGAACTGCGAATGAGCTTTATATGACTGTACAGTGAATTACAGTGAAATGTCACACATCCAACTGTCAGATATTCGCCTTGACCAACTAATCACCCACACTCAGTGTAATATGTGTGCATGGTGTGACATCATATCAGATGTCTACAAATCTGACCTTTTCCCATAGAGATGTGTATAATTAATCTTGCCTTTTCCCCCAAAGAGATATATACTTAATCTTGCCGATGTTCATTTTCTTCTAAATTACATTAAAGCATATTCCCATGTTTAAATCATATTACATTACATTTTTTATACAGTTACATACGTGTGTATAGTGTAATGGTATTTAAAAATGTTGACATACCCAACATTTTCACATATTTGCCTGTACCATCTGTGGAGAGTCAGATTCTGGACATACTGCATTATGCTTATTATATTTAACCAAGATAAGAGACCTTGGTATGTTTCTTATTAGAAGGTTGTCTGGCTCAAAAAAAAATTATTCGGAACAAACTGAGCGGTATTTAAAACTATTTTCAGTTTATTATGTAGAGAATGTGGTAGTGTAATTTTAACTTTGAAGAGCAAGCCAATTTTGTAGACTTGCTTACGAAAATACTCTCCATCCATATTTTATGATATTTCACTGGCATCGCTTACTACTTGCAAAATAAACAGCCTCGTACAGCAACCATGTGTACAATGCAGCATGTGCTATAATTGAAGCCCATACTGCAGTTATTTACTGGCAATGTCATCACATAATTGAGCCATTCTGGGGAATCTGGTGAACATGTTCTTGCATCTCGGCTCTGTAATTGCAACGATGTCTACAGTTTTGCTAATCCCTGCTGGTTAATTCTTATGCACCAGTTCTCAAAAGCAAACACTTGTGCCATGGAGTAGTGCAAACTGCCACTCATCACTAATGCTTCCTTCATAGTTACCTTTGAGATCCATAAGAGCCCACATTAAAACCCAGATTTCTTGATAATGATTATGATTCGACTGAACTGACCAGCACATAACCAAATCACACGGTATGCGTATGATCTTTGTCAGATATTGGAAGCTCAGCTCGGTTGAGCCTGGGTAGTGGTTGGATTGGCAACTACAATTCAAAGCAAAAAACATGTTTATAATTGCAGGGTAACTATTGTCTGTACTATTCTCCCACATGCTTCTTTACGAAGCTTCTACGTCTATTCTCCATACCTTCGCCAGCCTGTATTGAAAAGGGTGGTGGTGAATGGTCAATAACTCTCACAACGTGCACTGCTTTGGGAGATCCTCATCCAGCAGTAGATTAACCAAACAACTGTACATGCAATGGCCACAATGCCCTCAGAGCCAAACCAAATTTGCGAAATAAGGCAAAAGTTAGTGGCAGATCATTAAGCATGCACTTATCAATACAGTATAATCCCAACTAGCCAGATGTAGCACTTAGCTGGACCGGGTTGCCTAATTATAAAAAGCATCTAAAATGTATAATAAATGCAATTTTTCAAATAAAAATAATACAGTTATTGACACTCTATACGGTGGAATATGCTATTTAATATATAATGCACAATGAATTATCTAGAACGTGTTGTAGTGTGTATAATGTGTAAAATATTTAGTTAATTGTGTTCATAATGCATTGACGGCGATACACACCTGCGCTTGCACTGGCTCATGCAGGTACCTGAACACGCAGTTCATCAAGAAGAGTAAGCTGAGCGAGGCCGATATCCAGTATGGGTACGGCATGGACAGCAGCGAGCAGCTCATGGAGATTGGAGAGGTCAGTGACCACTGGGGCGATGTTTTGGTGGGCATTTACGCAATTGTGCGTTGTCGCGCGAGCTGGTGATGGCACGGTGGGCAGTGGTGCACGCAATTGTGTTCGGATGAGTTGGTGGTGTCTCAGTGGCAGTCGTGCATGTGTGTGGTTGGTTGAGCTTATACTAAAAAATTTAATTTAATTAATAAAAGTAAAATAAAAATAAAAAATTACGACGTTTCGGAGGCAACACAAGCTTCCGTCTTCAGGTGGAACCATCACAGCACGATTGCTGTATCAAGTAAAGAGAAATTCCAAGAGACCCGACCTTGTATATATCGGGTCTCTTGGAATTTCTCTTTACTTGATACAGCAGTCGTGCTGTGACGGTTCCACCTGAAGACGGAAGCTTTTGTTGCCTCCGAAACGTGGTGATTTTTTTATTATTTTACTTTTATGTATTTAAATTTTATTTTTTACCTACGTGACTTTACCGAAAAAAACCTAAGAGTATGAATCCTTGCAGTCACGAAAGCTTCAAATCTAGAATGAGCTTATACTAGTGCGCCAGATAAGGTTTTGGATCTTTTGAATAATTTTAGCCTCCGATTGTGATGCTAAGAGAATAATGTGTGTTTTCTGGTTTTAAAATGCAAGAATGACGTGACAGCTGCACGCTGTAGTTTAGCAGTTTCAGAATATTGATTTAGACTGGAGGAATACGATGAGTTATGAAGCTCCTTTTCACGGATGTATGTCCAGTATGGGTGGGTCAGTACATATTACCAAAACACCCACTCCCTTGCCTCAGAGTACCACAGTACTGCTTCTTCACCCCCCATCTGTCAGTATTTGTTGTCATGCTAATACAAGAGTGCAGCACGAATGTTTATATTCTTATGTCTTAAATTTAAGTGTCATACCTAATTCATATTTTATCTAGTAAAACACCCAGTATGCAGATTGTCTTGAGCACTGTGTATACCTAAAGCAATTATTCAAGGCAGATAAGGATCAAAAAGATGAAATTAATGCGCAAATAAGGAGATGAAAAACTCAGTTTGGGAATGGAAACTAAAATAATAATGTTCTTGAAGGAGAAATATTTCATTTTGTGTATATTTGTAGGACCAATCAGTTATAATCAATGTGTGTATATTAGGGAACCAATAAATGAACATGTTAGAGGCCAGCCAACCACATGAGTAAGTGGCATTTATATAAAAATTATCATGGGAATTATATAAAGCTTTTATAAAGATGGAACCACAATACTGGGATTGGTTGAACAGTGATGCAATGGATAGGGCATTACATTTTGATCCTGGCGACCAGTTTCACGGTACGATCCCAGCCATGTCTGACATCTGGCAAATGTTTTTTGCGAAAACATTTGGTACTCTTTCATCAACCCGCATTGACTAGCACGGTGAAATATGATCAAATAACTCTGGTGACATCCAGCAGTGTATTAACACAGGTCTGTATAATATAGTTTTAGAAATCAAATGTAAAGTGCTGTCTTTTAATAGAAAAGTGTCGTTGCCTTGCTGGTGGCTGTGTCACACAGGTTCCATCAGTGGGTGATCGAGCACCTTCATGTCCGGGTTGTTTCGTTTGTTTCTCTTTGTTTTGAATTAATAGTTGGCGCTGGACATCTGGCGGAGATTGATGATCGAGCCACTGGAGGGAAGTCTGGTCAGGGTACTGCTGAAAGAAATTAAAAAGTACGTGTTCATTGTTTTCGTAATGTTTAATGTATATGTGAAACATGCATCATCCTTATTTTCGATTGCAAGTTTTTACTTTGAATGGTCACTGTGCTTATGTAGTTCTCAATACGCTCTTTTTTTATTCCAGTGATCGATCTGGAGAAAATCCCAATCAGAAAGTAATCCACGGGGTTATCAACTCTTTTGTTCATGTTGAACAGTACAAGAAGAAGTTTCCGCTAAAAGTAAGAACATTAATCACCCCTGTCTCTGGTTTGTGTGGCATTAGCACTGATTAGCACATATGCGTTTCCTTGACAAAGAAGACCTGTATTGCATGGGACACGTCGCTCCCATTGCCTTTGGGTCATCTTGCCCCAGCCTCCTTCGCAAAAGAGGTTTTGCATCTCAAAGGCACATGCTGGTGAAACAGGGCTTTGTTTTGATTTATTGTTTGTTTCGCAGAATTTGTGAATAATTTGGCCAACATAGTAGAACATCATTGCTTGCTTTCGTGCATCATGTATAACTCTTATTTCCTAAGGCCTCCTCAGATTTAATTGAATGGTAAATATAAAAAAAAACTTGACATTAGTCAATACCACTGCATCAAAAAGGAACATGAAATAATAGGTGCCGTTTTGGGAAATAATAGGAGAAATGTTTGCCTATTATATAGGTTTTCTTTCAAGGCAGAGTATTGATGAATGTTCGCTTTTATTAATATCTATTTGTGCCTGTGCACCACGGCCAATGCTCTATTGCCTCATAATTTGGTAAATACTACACGTCCGATTGCTGCAATATTTGTAATGTAATGACCAACGCGTTTGTATTTTAGTCATTCGTTGTAGCACTTAATTCACTCTTAACGATCACATCTGTTTAAGCAATTTTACCATTGGAGCAGACTAACTTGGCATTGGGCACTTTATACACTGATGAACAATCCTTTCCATGTGACAGCGCACTGTCTGCACCATAAATAGTGAAAAAGCACGCATTTAGGGTGCCTTACTCCTTTTGGAGCCTATGACCAAATGACATGGCGAAGCCTTCATCCAGCAGTGGATTGACAAGGGCTGTACATGCACAAGTCTTTTTGAGCATGCAGACACTTAAGTATGAGATATGCAATTGATGTTTGTACTTGGGGTCTGTGTGTGTTGGTCACCCTTCCAGTTTTACCAGGACGTGTTTGAGAGCGCGTTTTTGGTGGAGACTGGAGAGTATTTTAAGCAAGAGGCATCCCGACTGCTCCAGACCTGCAACTGCTCACAGTACATGCAGCAGGTACAGCATGCATACGGAGAAAAAGTACGGGTCTGTGCTGCATGCAAAAATGTGTTCACTTGACGAATCTTGCACCTTGCTTTTATTACATAATTCCATGTCGGTCATGGGGATTGTTTGACCATACTTCATCATGCTGGTCAGTGCCAGTTGGTGAACTGGGTGGAGGGAGGGTGAGGTGACTGGGACCAGTTCAGATAGCACTCTTCACGATTAGCTCTGGCCAGGAATCTTAACTCGTCAGGTACATAGTGAGGTCCATGTGCCACAGCACCGCAACTTCCCTTCGCATTGTTCTAAATCGTTGTGTATTGATTGCATTTGATTTATTGACACATGGGGATTGTTTTGCATATGAAGGGTGTCTGTATTTGCTTATTGATTGATTCTCTCAATTTAACCTCTGCTAATTTCCTCCATAAATTCCCCCAGCAGTAACATTGGAATCCAAGTTGTTATCATACCCATCCAAACTGTCGTCACACGCAACCATCGTCCGTACGTCTCACCTCGTCAGCCGTGCATTGCATGTGTGTTTATCGGTGGCCCCGTGTAGGTGCTGGGCAGGCTGAAGGACGAGGAGGTGCGATGCCGCAAGTACCTGCACCCTAGCTCCTACAGCAAGGTGATCAGCGAGTGCCAGCAGCGCATGGTGGCCGACCACCTGCAGTTCCTGCACAGCGAGTGCCAGACCATCGTGCGGCAGGAGCTCCGTGACGGTGAGGGCCATTTTTAAGATGGTGTCGACCGACGCCCATTGGTTGTCGCGTAAACTTTTGATTTAAACAATTATTTGGTGGCACAGTGACTAGCAATGGTCACAAGCACATATATGTAAAAAATAAACATTCATCAATCACCACTGCCTTAAGAAAAAATATATGACCCTTTCGGCAATGGCCCTGCTTGACAGCACATAGAGAGTCCACTCCGCCTCTGGCCTCTCTCTGTGCTGCGATGAAGAGTCATTGCTCGAAACATTGCCTATTATCTTCTTTTTTAAGGCCACAATGTTATTGACAAATGTGTTAAAAAAATTATTAGGTGGCTGTGCAAGCGGATATCGTGGTCAGAGCACCGTACCAGCAACACTGAGATTCTGGGATACAATTTTGGTTTCAATCACCTATGATTAAATTTGGTTTTCAAGTTTATTAATTAATTGGCTTAAAACATTATACAGTCGTTACACCCCCTTGTTGGATTGTGCAGAGTTTTGATATGCAGTTTGTTCGATTAACACTAATTTTTAAAAATAAATTATTATGGTTTCAGCCTGGTCACCAATGAATGCATAACATGTCTGTAATGATAACTGTGCTTTCCCTCATGCCCTGCTATACACAAGCTGGAATCTTAACAAATTCAGTAAAAAAACCATAATGAAACCATAAACTCATGATACTTAAGAACCTGCGTTTAATCATTACTACTTGGACTCGAATTCAACAATGCCTGCTCAGTGCCCTAAACCCCTGAGCCACGCAGCCACCTCTTGCCATTACATCCTGCAACATAATTATTGCCGTGAACGCCATGCGGAGTTCACACGCTATGTACAGCGCTTCGTTTAAAAAAAAAGTAGTCTGGTGTGTCGCGACTGCTCTCGGAGGTGTCTGGTTGACTCGTACCATTGGCGGTACGCGCTGTCCGTGTTTTGCTCGGCACAGATATGGCGAACATGTACACGCTGCTACGGACGGTGCCGCAGGCGCTTCAGCACATGGTCACAGAGCAGCAGGAGCACATCCGCCAGGAAGGACTCAAGGCCATCAGCAACCTCTCCCACGAGAACGTGAGTGGTGTCACTTTCCTATACATCATCCCTATAACCACATAGACTGTTGTGACAAGTGCTGTTAGCTTGCACCTTTTAAGGCCATCATGGCAAGCGAGGGAGCAGTGTAGGCAACACCACACCTGGCCGTCTCCTGTCACACCATTACTGATGTTTACACACTGCACCTGGTACTTATTTAAGGCTGAGTCCACCTTTCAGAGGCACAGGATTGATTCGGATATTCGCCACTGATATTGGCCGCTGCTGGGAAATAAACTTGAGTTTCTGGGTTTGTAGCGAAGCATGCTAACCACGACACCACTGCTCCCCATACCTCCTAATAAATCCTCCACACTGACAGACCCTATAACACCTGTAATGCAAGCTATACTCCCCAAGACAATTATGATTTGCTAGCTGGATCCTTGGACTTGGGTGAGAGTTTCAGATTGGGAATCACCAGCCCATTCTGGCTTGATATGGAGCTCTCTTCGCCATATGTCTGAATGTTCGTTCCAACCCGAGAAATATCCTAGGTAATTGACCTAAACCATTTTATTAGCCTAGTATTTGGCTCTAACCAACTTTGTGTCCTTGTGTTTTAGGACATGTGTAACAATAGACATGTAGCCATAGCCTGAACCCAATCTCATACGTCATTAACCACACGTTTAAATCCCAATCTTTGGTACATAAGGAGTGTGAATTGTTATCTCTTATGGCGTCCAAGTTGGACGATTACGAATGATCTTCTCTACACACATACTAAACTGCACTTGACCTCATTTTACCTCCCTTTGTAGCTTGCAACTTGTTTTCAAGGACAAACCATAAAATAGAGTTTCATATTTTACGAGATTACATGACAAGTTATCGCTTTGCAGCTCCGATTTAAAATATCCCAGCGTTGTTTTCTATGGAAATGAACGTGGCCTGGCACTGTGACCAAACCTTCCCTCTGCTCACTCTCACTCGGCCCGCACAGATGCCAACACAGTTTGTCGAGTCGGTTCTGGAAGTGCACAGCAAGTATGTGCAGCTCATCACGAGTGTCCTCAGCGGAGATCAGCAGTTCATGAGCGCACTCGACAAGGTGAGTTTCAGCAGTGTGCCGTGTGCAACGCGTTCATTCAAACATTGCCACGGAGAGCAAACGTTCTTTGTCTGACCGACCGAATTAATTCATTGATTGTGTAATATCACAAAGGTCGACAAAGGCGTATGTGTTGTATTCACACAGGCCTGCTCGGCTGTCGTAAACTACAGAGAACCGAAATCGCTTTGCAAGTCACCAGAACTGGTATGTGCTCTGTGTGTAATATTCCTCTTGTTATTCTTATTTGCAATTCACTGGTAAACTGATATTGGTATATACATAAACTTGGGACCGATGATCAAATGACCCGGAATGCGCCGATCCCGTCAGATCTTTGAAGCCAAAAGCAGTGTTGAAACTAGCTGGTGCTAGGATGGGCCACCACCATGCACACATAGGTTGTTGTAGACTATTGTAGGGCTATGTGGTGGGCAGCAGAGGACAGTGCATACAAATATATTGTACTGTATTCTATGTGCTTCCATTTCCATGCTGCCCACCTACACCAACCTGCTCTGACCAGCGTGGTGAAGCATGGTCAAAAGAACCTTCACGATCCACACGACGTGAGGATGCGCTCATCCAGTAGTGGATTAACTAAAGGGCTCTATATGGACATGATACTGTTACACTTAATGACTTTTTAACCTCTTACACCTCAGTAGCATAATTAGTGGGAAACTGCCTACAATCAATCTCAAAGCCATGCTACCCAGATACATTAATGTTGAAGGCATGTTAATTGGTCGATTATATGTGATATAATTCTGATAATTAAACGAGCCTTCCTATATGTTGATTAATGTACGTTGTTATTACCAGTAATTTGTCATGACATGGACATCAATACTAGGCTGTAAGCCAATGCTGATACTAGATTTGAAGCTTTCGTGACTGCAAGGATTCAAATTGCTTGATGCAGCAATTTTGCTGTGACGGTTTCACCTGAAGACGCAAGCTTGTGTTGCCTCCGAAACGTCGTGATTTAATTTATTTGTTTTTTTAACCTACGCGACTTTACCGAAAAAAAAGAGAGTACCAATGCTGATAATTGGAAGCACGTGTGGGTGTAATGAGTGCCGTGGGGTGGAATGTTCACTCTTGTGTACCAATATGAATCGTGTCTGTGCAGTTGGCGAAGTACTGCGACGGAATGCTGAAGAAGACAGCCAAGGGCATGACCGAGAACGAGGTTGATGACAAACTCTCCAACTCCATCGTCGTCTTTAAGTACATTGATGACAAGGACGTCTTCCAGAAGGCAAGTCCCTTCAAATGCATGCTCCTCATTTCACGGAAGGCTGAATTCTCGCCACCGTGAGACCTTTGACACATTTGTTCTTCAGTGAAAAGTAAGAGTAAATAATTGGAAATCCCTAAGCCTGGGAAGCCTAAGAGTTTGTAGAATGTTACGGGAGTATATCTCTTTGAATACTTTGGCAATTTTTATTGATTTGTTTTTATCTTGCTGGAGAAAATTGGAGTGACAGGAGAAATTTACATATAAGAGAGGGGAGCATTCGAATGCCAAAGGTTTCAAAACCTGTTTGTTGTACTACCTTCTGTAGGCACCACCCCATCATGCAGATGTGTCTTCTGAATATAAGCTTTATTTAATGTGGATGAGGAATGTTAATGGAGCTGTTTTTTTCTCATTAGTTTTATGCCAGAATGTTGGCCAAGAGGTTAATCCACGGGCTTTCCATGTCAATGGATTCAGAAGAGTCCATGATCAACAAACTGAAGGTAAGAAATGTGCATACCTCTCATATCACAATCCATATTTCCTACCACGATAGTGTTTCAAATATGGATTTGCATGAAGGTATTGATCTAAGAGAAGGTTATGAGAACTGTCAAGGCAGTCACCAGAAAACACTTTGGGAGGCTTGGGTCTGAGGATTGAGTGACTTTTTAATGGGTGAATCTCAATCAGTGAGTGGGATTGTTTTTCTTTGCCAGCATTGCTTTGAGATTGAGTGTTAAAGGCACCTTCTTAACAGTGAGGAAACTACTTGACTAGTTGTCAATGTTCTTTTATTAATTCATTACGGCGGCAGCATTATTCCCTGCAGGATTGACTACCGTATTCAGGGAAGGGCAATGCTAAAATACAAACTTTCAACCTGTAGAGAAACTTCGTTATGTGACTACCCATAACACCTCAAATTTCTCTACACTGTGTTAACTGCAGAAGAGCTCTGCTCCTACTGGTTTCAGAACTTCTTTTGAATTTTTTGCAGAAGTAGAATTTTTCAAATCTTTAATATTTTTGATTTGTCTCTGAAGATGGCTGAGACTAATAAGTCGAGCAATTATTGTGGCTGTGGGGCTGCGTGGTGGCGTGATGTTATCTCCCTTGCCTGATATGCAGGAGGTTGTGGGTTCGATCCAGACCCTGATGCCTGTATATTTGGAGTTTGCATGTTCTCCCCGTGGTCACGTGGATTTTACCTCCGCGCTCTTTGGTTTTTCCCTCCACATTTAGAAACATTCGATTAGATTATTTGGCTGCTGTAAAGTCCCACATATAAGCCACTTGGTTGAGCTTTCATTTGTGTCGCTTCTGAATAACAGCTTATAGCTCAGTGGGCTTTACATTGGTAAATAAAATAGTTTAGTATTTAGATACATTTGTGAATTGTTTGCTTACCTGGGGCCAAGCCACAATTTCCAAAGCTGATTTGGGGGTTTGTAGCTCCTAACAAAGTAGAGTGAGGTGAGAGGCAAGAGGTGGGAGAGTACGTGGAGGAGAGATGATATTAATAATGATATTAATAGAAGTCACAGTGCACTTAGAGGGGAGTCGATTGATGTGAGATGGTGCAGGTAGGAGAGCATTTGGGAGGTGAGTTAGAAGTTTAAAGGGAGAAGTAGGGGAGAGCAATGAGTGGAATAGAGTACATTGAGATAGGAAAGGTGAGTTAGTGTGAAGGAGAGGAGTAATGACCTGAGGGGGGGGTGAGGTAGAAGAGTTTGAGGAGCGGAGGAGGGAAATGTATGAGAGTGTCGGGCTGTGTGCGTGAGCAGCAGGCATGCGGGTACGAGTTCACCAGCAAGCTGCACCGCATGTACACAGACATGAGTCTGAGTGCCGACCTCAACAACAAATTCGGCAACTTCATCAAGGAGCAGGAGACACCCATCGATCTTGGCGTCGGCTTCCAGATATACGTGCTGCAGGTGGCTGCCTTTTCATATGTATTTTTATTTATTCGTTACTTGCATTATTATTCGAGGTGTAACGATGCATCAGTTGTTCAGTTACTATTGATTGTAAACCTCACGGTACGTGCATAGAGTTGCATGTATAAGAGTTGATGTGTTTTAATTCCTTATGTTCTATGCAAAGGGTTCATATGACGCCTGCAACCATGAGTGCCCACTTTATTCATCACAATGTAAAAAAAGTCACCGATTCTTGAATCAAATTGCAATGCTAAAATGGGGCAATTAATTGCAAATCATTACACCTCTATTATTATGCAAGGATAAATTTCGATTTAAAGCTTTCGTGACTGCAGGGATTCATCTTCTTGGTTCTTTCGGTAAAGTCACGTAGAAGGGAAATAATAAAATAATAAAAATAAAACTATCAAATTCTCACGACGTTTCGATTGCAACACAAATTTTCTTGCTGTGGTTTTCACACCTGATGATGATTGCTTGTGTTGCAATCGAAACGTCGTGAGAATTTTATTGTTTTATTTTTATTACTTTATTATTTCCCTTCTACGTGACTTTACCAAAAGAGCCAAGACTATGCAAAGATAGTTACCTCCCCAAAGAAAGGCAATGGGTCGAGATTGAATGTTAGAGATGCCTCCCAGCGTTTGACTTAATGCTTGCAACAGCTTAACATTGCAATGCGGTGTGTGTGTGGTGTCACAGGCGGGCGCGTGGCCTTTGTCCCAGCTTCCTTCCACGCCGTTCGTCATCCCCCAGGAGCTGGAGAAGTGCGTGCGGATGGTGCGTAGACACACACCCGTCAAATTACCCACACTTAAACATCAATCTGCATGATAAATGTAAAGCATAAAAGGTACGAAGTAATACATCGCACAAAAATACCTGTCTTTTTCACAGTTTGAAATTTTCTACAACGATAGCTTCAATGGCAGGAAGCTGACATGGCTGCATTACCTTTGCACAGGTGAGTGTTCTGCATCATGACCATCAAATTTAAACTTCTTTCATGTGTTTTATTCATCACAGTTGAACTCTCCGCATTTAGTGAAGTGTATAACGCTGTTTTCTTCTCTTTTAGTACACTGCACACCATCGTAATAAAAAATGTGACACTAACATCGTCGGTGTTTATCTGACATCTTTCAAAAGCCAATTACACCACCTTTTTTGCAGGTGGTTGAGAGGCTTATTGTCACTAAACTGCCAAAGGTCAAATAAACAGATTAGGCAAAATGACAAAAATGTGCATTCTTTGGAACCATCAAACTTGCTTGACTCTAAACCCAGTTTAATCTCAGGTTGTCGTCTGGATTTAAAACCAGGAGCTCAGCGTTCGTAGCTCAGCAAGATCCCTTCAGGTTATCTTTTTTATCACCAGTCATTGTTGATTAGGCTGGGATCATTGGACGTGGATTAATCACGGATGGCTAAAACTCAGATTAGAACCCAGAACATGAGCAGTGCAAGCTCTGACCTCTGAGCCACCTGGCCACCTTCAGCAACATCCCAAGCAGTGCTTAACGCAGCAGTGATGATCCACCGCCTAACCTGGGTGAACGTGCATTTGCTGGAGGCCCCACACTCAAGTGATTGTCCACCTGCAGGTGAAATGAAGATGAACTACCTTCCCAAGCCCTACGTGGCGACGGTCACCACCTACCAGATGGGCGTGCTGCTGGCATTCAATGGTGCCGAGCAGGTGACATACCGAGAGCTTGAGTACAGCACGCAACTCAACGAGCGCGAGCTGGTCAAGACCATCCGCTCGCTCATCGACGTAAAGCTCGTCAACAGCAGCGGCAAGGAGGTGAGCACATTTGCTCGTATCTGCCAGTCCCTTACACCAGCTGTTGCTGAGACCCTCATCCATGCCTTCGTCACATCCAGACTTCACTACCGCAATTCTCACTTCTATGGTTTCCCAAAATTCTCCAAACTCCAGATGATCCAAAATGTCCCAGCCAAACTTGTGAACTGAAACAAATCCAGGTGGCTCCTCCGGAAACAGTCGAATGGATATCAAATCTCAACATCAGTTTGTTGGAATCTGCTGCAATCCCCAAACATTTCATCCGATAGAAAGAGAAGATTGTAAATGATTCTACATCACCACAATACCCTGATCCCTCCACTGGCTTTCAATTAAGTGTTCATAAATTAATTCGTTAAACACAATGGCTGGTTTCGATTTAAAGCTTTCGTGACTGCAGGGATTCATCTTCTTGGTTCTTTCGGTAAAGTCACGTAGAAGGGAAGTAATAAAATAATACAAATCAAACATAATAAAATAATTCTCATGACGTTTCGGCTACAACGCAAGCAGCCGTCTTCAGGTGAAGAATGAGACACTACCAAGCTAGGAGCTTATATATAAGCTGGGTTGGAGGTGGAAGAGCGCCTTAACAAAAAGAATGTGCATATGAAGAGGAATTTAGCATATTCATGGGAAATGCGTAGGAGGTGGGTGGGGGGGTTTCATAGTCATATTATGCCCATGCATTATGCAGGATCAACAGCACCAAGGGGGGGTGCAGGGAGTAGCATTAACAAAGGAAAGGAATGTTAATAGTATGTAGCTGCAGTTACTAAACAACAAAGTTTATACTTTAGTTTTTTATGTAGTTTATACTTTAGTTTTCTACGTGGTTGTTTAGTAACTGCAGCTACATACTATTAACATTCCTTTCCTTTGTTAATGCTACTCCCTGCACCCCCCCTTGGTGCTGTTGATCCTGCATAATGCATGGGCATAATATAACTATGAAACCCCCCCACCCACCTCATACGCATTTCCCATGAATATGCTAAATTCCTCTTCATATGCACATTCTTTTTGTTAAGGCGCTCTTCCACCTCCAACCAAGCTTATATATAAGCTCCTAGCTTGGTAGTGTCTCATTCTTCACCTGAAGACGGCTGCTTGCGTTGTAGCCGAAACGTCGTGAGAATTATTTTATTATGTTTGATTTTTATTATTTTATTACTTCCCTTCTACGTGACTTTACCGAAAGAACCAAGAAGACAATGGCTGGTGCATGTGTAATGATATCCTGTTACTTATGCCTGAGTTTGTATGCACATATGTATCAACAATAATTTTACTTTTGTGGGCGGTGGAGCGGTGGTGCAGTTACGTTGTTCATAGTACTATAAATGCAATAGCATGAGTTCAATTTACAGCCACGGCTAACATCAGTGGCGAGTAATATCTGAACCGGTCCCGGACCACCCAGTTAACTAACCCGCACTGACCAACGTGGTGGAATGCGAATGAGCAACCACCGTGACGGACAAAAGTGTGGGCGAGGCCCTCATCCAGCAGTGGATTGACAGATCTTCTAAAGGTTATGTTAAAAGTTTATGGCTGTGTTTGGATGCTCTTGTTTTGAAGACTGTAACTTTTCCAACAGGATGAGATAACACCAGAGTGCATATTCTCCCTAAACATGGAGTTCAGCAGCAAGAGGACAAAGTTTAAAATCACATCGGCCATGCAGAAAGACACTCCCCAGGTAGGGCTTTTGCATTGCCATGTACATTTAGCATTCCCCTTTTGAGTGCGAAAGTCTATTCACTCGAACACCACAGTAGGTTTGTATTTCGATGGGTGTGAGCCAGTGATCTCTTCGCATACAGTGTACATTTTGCTGAATATTTTGTTTACAACACCTTTAAGATAATAGGCATTTAACAATTCACCCCTCCAACAATTGAAATAATTCTCATTATTTGGTATTGGGATTGACATTTTTTCGTCTTGTTTTTAACATGTCATTTGTATTCTACTTTGTTATTTCTAACATCGTAAATAAGTGATTATCACATACACTATGGCGCGATGTACATATAATAGCACGAGATATTTACCCGATGAGTCTGCATTGCTTAATGCCTACTGTTTGATATCCTCTTAAATTTTAAAGCCCCGTTGTAAGAATTAAATTATGGTGATGGCTTTGACAGTGGTATTGATGTTATGTTTGCTTTTGTACGCTGGTGTGCGCACGTGTGCAAACACACACACGTGGACGCACGCATGTCCACTCCGTTGCGTGGATACCTCAACCCCCCGAAACCACACGTGACCCCCACAGCAGGAGGTTGAGCAGACCCGCAGTGCCGTGGACGAGGATCGTAAGATGTACCTGAAGGCGGCCATCGTCCGAATTATGAAGTCACGCAAAGTGCTCAAGCACAACGCCCTCATCCAGGAGGTGCGTGTTGTTGTTCATCATTATTATTATTATTTAAGTTACTGTGGTGGTGATATTATTGTTATATTCCTATCCCAGAATGCACCCGATCTCATCAGAACTCTATAGCTAAGCATGCTTGAGCCTGGATAGTGTTGGGTAAGCGACTACCTTGAATTAGAGGTTGTCATAGTGCTGCATGGGCTATGGAGTGGGTAGAATAGGGTAGTGCAGCAAAATCCATTAATGTACTTTACTACGATGCTCCCACTTCTATGCTCGCCACCTTCAACCCAAACTCATCAGTATAAAGTGAGGTCAAAATAACCCCTGCTACCTGCAAAGCATGGGGAGTCCTTGATCCATCAGTGGATTGACAAAGGGCTGTAAAGTAAGTTGCTCATACAAGCACCGTTTGGACAAGCCTCGCATAACACCATAACATAATATTGCATTTGCCTGATATCTTAAGCAGGACCCTCCTAAAATGTCTGAGACTCGCCTGGCAAAACGAAGTAACGGTGAACGGAGTCTTTTAAATGTTATTGTGCAATCGTGTGTCTTCTATCTCCCTGCCTGTCTCCAGGTGATAAGTCAATCGAGAGCACGGTTCATACCCAGCGTGAGCATGATCAAGAAATGCATCGAAGACCTCATCGACAAGCAGTACATTGAACGTAACCAGAATTCCACGGACGAGTACAACTACGTTGCCTAAGCGACAGGCTGGCCAGCTGGCAGAGGACGGACGGACGGACAGGCAAGCAAGGAAGCGAGCGAGCAACACGCCATATACGAACGCACGCAACAGGCTGGGGAAGTTGTGGGGCTCGGACCCCCCCCCCCCCCCACTCTGCTCCTACATCCCATCCTCCCAGCTTGTTTTAAACGCAAGCAGATAACGCGCAAGCAATCACGCAGTTCACATCCTCCCAAGCCTAAATTGAAAGTTAAGTGGGTAAAATGTGCGCATCGAAAAGTATGCGAATGGATCGCTTTGGAGTAATACGCTCGCAAATATGGGGTGTTTTGTCCAAAAAGAAGCGTTGGTTTTCTTAATTCACTTTCTACGTTTGCACTGGTTCTATTGAGAATTTGTGTTTATCTTACAGAGTGTTGTGTGTCCCGGTGTGTTGGGCCTGAGGTTTCGGGAGGTTCACCGTATTTGCTTTAATTCTGCCTGCTTGACCCACCGACTGGGGATTCTTGATACAGGTGAAAGTTTAAACTTTGCTGTGAGCGTTGAGTTGCCTGTACCACCAGTGCAGGGCATTTCTTTTCATTAAGGTCATGATTTTACAAGCGTTTTCTTTGACGTTGCCCTGCCAAAATCCCTGAAACACTGCTGACTGCTTTTCCTGCATTTCTATGAAAGCATTGAAATCACATCGATGTTTGAAGGTGTTGAAAGCACTTAAAACAAGTCCATTACTGTAATGCTATCGAAAACGTTCTAAAAGCGCACGGAATAAATACGTTATTTAAAATTTTTATTTGCTTCAATGCCTTTTGTTTGACGCTCCAGTGAATGCCACAATGTCAAATTCACATCTTGTTAGAGTAACATTTTATTTGATCACCACCATCGTTAGGTTACAACTCACTTCTGCAAGCGTTTACAAACATTGGTTTCATGCTGCAGTGACAAAACAAAGCACATGTTTAAACGAGTGTCTTGAAACTGCACTGCCATTTCTAAAGGGTCCTTATGGCTTCCATCTGAGTATAATTTAGACTTTAACATAAATGCTTTGGGTGTAAAAAACTAACTTGTTTATATTCCTGATCCAGCCTTAAACTATTCATGCAAGTGCATTCGACAAAAAGCAGCAATGTCCCACTAACCTTTTAATGGCAAGTCATGAGTCGTCTTAACACGTTAATGTGTTGAGGTTAAAATGAAAATGTCACTTGAACAGGGATGCACGGAATTTCAGTATCCACCTGGGTGTTAAATAGAGTTAGCGATCCTATCGTCCTTGCTTTGGCAGAAAATGTATTTGCACGTTTCCAGAAATTTAACTTACGAATGATCCAAGTTGGGAATTTCATTTTTTTAAAAGATCTTTGCCAGTTTAAAAGTGCCGAATTTGCGTTCACCTGTAAACGTTTGCTTCACCTGTACGCGCGTCAACGCGGCCACACTTTCACTCTCTTGTTGGTGAACGTTCAGTTTAACCGATGTGCACGTGGAAGTGTGTTTGAAGTGACAACATGTTTCCTTTCGTCGCTCAATAAACACACGTGTAGGAATTTTACTCATGTATTTTTTCCCTTCTTTCAAAATGCTCATTAAATGTCCTTTGCTGTGTCTGATCAGTGGCGTAGCATTCAGATTAAAAAATTTCAGTCGTCCGTAATTGATTGGCAACTTGTAATTTCCAATTTTTTGTAACTTCATGGTGTTTACTTTTGTACAAAACTAAAAAAAACCACGAAAAAAATCTATAAATGTTCGTCTCAGGTTTTTCACTCATCCACCTAAGCAGGCACGTGTTATGCTTTTCTGATATTACAGCAGTTACATTTTCAATTTGTTTAGGTTCTTTTGTTTTTTTTCCCTTCCTACGCACCCCTGACACATTGGGTGGCGTATGTTTATGTAAAATAAAATTGTGTACAGACTCTCGACACGAGCTCCTGTCATGAGCCTATGAATGCCTGCCCATGGTGGTGTAAACTGCATGTGGGACGTTTCTTTGATGGGTGGTTGACAGGCCTGAGTAGGTGGGTGGGTGTTTGGCCTAAAAATAATGCGATTTCAGAAATGGGTGTGTTTTGCCGGATTATTATATTTGAAATGTATAATAACTCATGATAACCGTAATGTTAATAAAAACGAAAAATAAACATTTCGTGGATACCAGCCTTGCATATATTCACTGCTTGCGTTGTGCAATGTTTCCCATTATATCCTTTTTTTGTCTTCCCCCCCCCCCATCATATCCTTTGTGTGGATTGAGCAGTGGTCTTTAACCCCCCCCCCCCTCACTCCTAAATTGATCAACTCTCACTGAGAAACATGGTGAAATATGGTCAAACAACCCCAATGACCAACACTGCATTGGAGACCTTCAATCAGCGAATTGTGGAATTGGTGAAGTGTCCACGGGTGTATACACATACATTATATTTTGTGCTTGTGTCGTAAGACTTAGCACGTTTCATGTTGAGGTAACATTGGGACTAACCTGTTTGTGATCAGAATGTTGGGACTGCATGGGCAAAAAGATCGTGTTTCAGCAGAGCACATGTCTGGGCGACAGGTGGACAAATTCGAAGCGTTCAACAAAGACGGGCAGTGGCAGCTCCAAATGGTGTCGGCACACACCCTCCGCGTGTGGCACCTCCTGCTAATCTGACACTTGCTGCGCTCAATCAAACACACTCGGGATCGTTACTCGGGAAGGAGCAGGAAGCTATAAAATGCCCCCCGTTGCTTCAAATACAAAAGTGGAAATGAATGTTGAGAACGTGTGCGGTGTGGAGCTGATGTATAGAGAGAATGTGGATTGTATTATGGGTATCTCCGTTCTGCTCGTTACCCAGTATGTATCGTCATCTTGTAGTCTATCTGAACCGATGCCGAACCTCACCCTAACCATTGAAGCAAGACGGTCACTGCATTGCACGCTTTCAGATGCGCTCCTGCAGCCATCTGGAACGCTGTTCCGATATTACGAAGCCACTGGAGCTATGCACATTTAAATCATCTAGATTGAAAACTCATTTGTTTAGAACTGCTTTTTGTGTTTAGTTTGCTGTCTTTCCCCCGCACCTCCGATTAGCACGGTTGGCTACGTACGGTGCGAAACAAGTACAACATACACCCCCTCGATGATGAAGCAATGCCACTGTTATTTTGGGCTTTTCTATAACATTGGTAACATTGACCTCCAAGTAAAATTTACAATAGTGTACTGACTAATTTTATTATTTGAACGTGCCAAAGCTGATATTACTGATAAAAGTGTACATAAAATAATGTTTAAGCTCTTGGGCCCTTCTTTAGAGAACCACTGATAAGATTATCTTGTTCTTTCGTGGAAATGACGTGACCTTCATGACCAAGTAAAAAAATATTCATTGGGGGTGAGCGGGTGTCACTGGTTAACGCAGCGTGGTGTGAGCCTGAAAATCTGCGTTTGATTCCATAACCAACGTGAGCGGCAACTGATTTCTCAACCGATCCTGAAATCCCCTCTTCTCGTCACCATCCACACTGATGGGAATGGTGAAGTATGGTCAAACAACTCCCGTCACTGACGTGGCATTGGGGAGGCCTTCATCTGGCAGTGGATTGACAAATGAATGTATGCCGGAGCTCATGAAACGCGAGCGTTATGCAAGGGAGACCTAGGGTTTAAAAAGTAGAATAATTTAACGTGTACTTCACCGTGCTACTCTGCACACGTGTTATGTTAATGTTCCATGTGTTTTGTCAGTGCCTATGTTTTTAATCATATCGAAAAGCAGGCATTAATGCACTTATTGAAATGTTGCCACTTAGACTTTCCCGCTCAGAGGACATGTGCAAGCGAGAGGCAGCACATGGACGATGGCAGTGGTCGAAATCAAAGAGTCGCAGCCCAAGTTCAGAGCCGCCTGAGAATCAGTCTACCACGTGGACATTGAGGGAGGCTATTCAGCTCATGTGCAGTGGCTGGATGGATCGCTGCATCGTGTGGCCATGAGAGCTTGAGACATCCAGCAGTGGGTAAATCAAGGCCGATTATCGTGTATATATAAAGCAGTGTGACATGACATGATGCAAGTGTGTAACTAGCTTTTACCAACTAGGCAGTACGCCACAACCGATGCACATATGTTTCTGGGGTTGTTTTAAATGCTGTATATTGTACGAAGTTTGCCGCATTCACTGCAAATGTTATGTGTATGTATCTCAAGCGTGTCTTTATAAAATCGATTATAAAGAGCGTGTTTTCGTGCCTAAAAGGGAACCGGAATTTGCATCAGAAAGCCAGTGGGAGGACAAAGCTGCAGGCTAAATGATGCAACGTTTAAAACCGCGTGAGCTCAGCTCAACTGGCAGTGCGTGCAATTTACCACTGGATATCTTATCTCTCTTAAGTGTCCACCCTCAGACAAGCTTCCTTTCATTATCAATTGTCTCCTAATCCACGAGCCTTGTCAGGACACCACGTTGCCGAAGGCTGCGTTTAGACGGTGTACTCTACGGTGGTGGATTATTCTAAATGTCGTTCCCGCTCTCTGCCTCACCGCTTTGCAATCGGCGATGTCCCAAAATAAGATCGCGTCCAGCATTGATAGGGGAAGCAGCTTGTTTCACGTGGACTAAGCAGTGCACTGTGTTTTCGCATTTTATTGTACGACTGAGGAATAAGTGCGTAACATATGAAAACTTGATTTTCAAGCCTTGTCAGCATATACACGTCTATTGTTAAGGTTCGGCATGTCGTGAATAACCTCTCCCTCGCGATGTGATGAACAAACTCGCCCATTGTTTCACACGCCGCGATGGGAGATCAAATGGAAAACTTCTAGGACCGTAAATTATTTTTGTAAATTTTACCAAGGCCCACTGAGCTATATCGTCCATTCTCAGAAGCCATCTGGCCACACATGACAGCTCAACGAAGTGGCTTATGATGTGCACATTTATAGCAGCCAAATACTCTAAATGCACGTTGATTCTAAATGTGGAGGGAAAAGCCGGAGGACCCGGAGAAAAATTCACGTGACCACGGGGAGAGAGAGAGAGAGAGACACCGCAAACTCCAAATATACAGCAGCAGGCGCCAGGGTCGGGATTGAACCTTTGACCTCCTGCATACCAAGCGAGGTAGTTAACATCTCATAGCCACTATGATGATGATGATGAGAGATACATGCAGACTCCAAATATACAGCAGGCCTCAGGGTCGGGATTGAACCCATGACCCCTGCATACCAGGCGAGGTAGTTAACATCTCATAGCCACCGTGATGATGATGATGAGAGATACATGCAGACTCCAAATATCCAGCAGGCCTCAGGGTCGGGATTGAACCCATGACCTCCTGCATACCAGGCGAGATAGTTAACATCTCATAGCCACCGTGATGATGATGATGAGAGATACATGCAGACTCCAAATATCCAGCAGGCCTCAGGGTCGGGATTGAACCCATGACCTCCTGCATACCAGGCGAGGTAGTTAACATCTCATAGCCACCGTGATGATGATGATGAGAGATACATGCAGACTCCAAATATCCAGCAGGCCTCAGAGTCGGGATTGAACCCATGACCTCCTGCATACCAGGCGAGATAGTTAACATCTCATAGCCACCGTGATGATGATGATGATGAGAGATACATGCAGACTCCAATAATATACAGCAGGCCTCAGGGTCGGGATTGAACCCATGACCTCCTGCATACCAGGCGAGATAGTTAACATCTCCTAGCCACCGTGATGATGATGATGAGAGATACATGCAGACTCCAAATATCCAGCAGGCCTCAGGGTAGGGATTGAACCCATGACCTGCATACCAAGCGAGGTAGTTAACATCTCAAAGCCACCGTGTTGAGGATGATGAGAGATACATGCAGACTCCAAATATCCAGCAGGCCTCAGGGTCGGGATTGAACCCATGACCTCCTGCATACCAGGCGAGATAGTTAACATCTCAAAGCCACCGTGATGATGATGATGATGATGAGAGATACATGCAGACTCCAAATATCCAGCAGGCCTCAGGGTCGGGATTGAACCCATGACCTCCTGCATACCAGGCGAGGTAGTTAACATCTCATAGCCACCGTGATGATGATGATGAGAGGTACATGCAGACTTTAAATATCCAGCAGGCCTCAGGGTAGGGATTGAACCCATGACCTCCTGCATACCAGGCGAGGTAGTTAACATCTCATAGCCACCGTGATGATGATGATGAGAGAAAAACCCGTGAGCGTGCCTGGAACCACGCTCAGAGCCGGCTCAAGTGAAGCACGCTGGCTTTGAGCCGGCTCACTTGAGCCAGGGTGAAGCCTGTGCCAGTTCGCCAGCCATTACACCACGGCGGTTCTGTATAGGTATATAACCATTCTGGCGAATTGCCCGATGATGCTGGATGCAATTACCAGCGAAACGTCGTACTCAAATTGTAAATGTTGTGATTTCACGCTTCAACACACCGGTGGGCTAAAGCAGTGAACTAATTGTCTTTTGTCAACGTGACACTTTTTTACTGATTGGCCGTGTCGGGTGGTGGAGGGTTACGACACATTTATAAATAACGCGATCTGAACCCAAAAACGTTGATTATGAATATAATAATTCATAGTAGAACTACAGCGGTTAAGAGAATGCGTCCCGATTGTATACCATTTGCGCGCACAAAAGTGTAAGGATATTGGTAGCAGGGGATGAGAGAAAAGCATGTGGCTAGATGCAGTGGTAAACAATCGACAAGAACAGGGAATGAGATTGAACGTTGCAGTGATATTGGCGTCTTCTTGTTCTCGTTGAGTATGGCAACTCAATGGCACGCCGACGTCTCATCGCCAACTAACACGCCGAGGCGAAGCTGAACAAAGACGACACACATCGAGAAACCTCCCAATGGGACGGTCTCAAAAGTTCTACCTCATTAAATAGGGCCCTACATTAACAGCAGCAGCAACAACAACAACAAACATCCCTCGGTTAATATTCTCTGCGAAATATCAACCAATTGGCAATTTGAATGACTCTTGGGGGTGTGTGGCAGAGGTTGGGGGGGGGGGGCGACGATTTCCCTGAGAGGAAGACGCAAACATTGTTGAAATGTGTCTGCTCCTTTCGAAGCTGGCGAGCTGATGAAAGAGACAGATGATGACGGTGGTGGTGGTGGAGGG